CTTTAGATAAGGCTGATATATTTTTATAGGGGTGCCACCGAATGGGAAATTCTTGAGCCAGAACCCGAATACCGAAATAGGAAACAGTTGGCCGAAACCGAATGCCAGAAAATGATTATTAGAACTATATACTATATATATAATGTATACATTTTTTACCAATGTTGTTCAGCTACCTGATTTATGGAAAATACATGATTATGGCAAAACTTAACTTAAAGTAATAGAATCATATTATGGTCCATAAAACATTTATTACAGACCACTTTTGAAATGCATCACAGTCACATAAATTCCAAGTCAAGTGCATTTTTTTTCTCTGTAGGATAAATACAAAAGTGCATTCAGAACAAAGCCAAGGTGCTTTTAAAACTGCATAAAATCTAGGACGTAGGCCTACAACAAAATAGTGTAATAAGATTGTAACAGCCAGGCCTTCACAAAAACAAATGCAAAACCTATAGTTGCATGCCATATAACAAATGTGCAAACTGGATAAATCAACACATGAATGTACATTACAATGAAATGCTAACAATTAACTTTCAAGAATCTGTAAATAAGGCTGTGTGGTTCCCATCATAAGCAAGTAGTCCGTAGAAAACACTTGTATAAAAGATACATAAAGGAAACTGGATAAAAATCCACGAATGTCAATTACAAATTAAATTACAAAATTCAAGAATCTGCAAATAAAGGTGTCTGTCCCATGAGCAATGACCAAACTCATCATTTAGATAACCGACAACAGTACAATATATTTGAACACTGTGCTTCCGCGTCCATCTTTCGCACCCTAATGATAAACCTGAAGGGTGAATTATAACTCAACAATGAAAAGTTAGTTCAGGAAACGTCGGGTATAACGTAGACATGTAGAATCAGATAAAGCTTATGATAGCACTTTTTTACTTAATTAACGGAAAAGTGCGGAGGTTCTTTTTAATCGAACAGTATTTCTCTGCCTTATCAGCCATAAGTCCCTGTTTCCCCCCCTTCCCATCAAGCACATGAGAGGAGCCCGCTGAACAGTCATCTCCGCCTGTCAGTGCTTTGTGAATTTTGATCTTAGTCAGCATATTTGTCCGGGGGGTTTTTGATTTCAAGAGGTGGGATAATCCCGAAGGGTGAAAGGTCTTGCAGTTCACCCTCAGAAAAAAAACATGCTCACGCTGAACACCGTTTTAAAACAATCGCAACTCCGCGCCTCTTTCCTCTGGATATTGGTAAAATATCTCCAACGCGCCAGACATCCACGCCTGTGAGCCAGCGCCGACGCATCGGTGCGCGCCCGGCTTTGTCGCCGCGTTTTTGATACGTCAATCACAACAACACGTTAGTTTACCAACGTAAACCCTGTTCCCTGACATTCGGTGGATATTTTTTCGTGGCTAAAAATAATAGGGATGCAACCGAATATTCCGCGCCGCCGAAAAAATTATCGGCCGAAAATGGTTAAAAAGCCCTCTCTCCGGCCGATAATTTTCGGCGGCGGAATATTCGGTGCGTCCCTAATATTTTACTTTATAAAACCCTTTTAATAGGCTTTCCATGACCCTTTACATGTCATTGGTGACCCAGAGATGAAAAGGATGCTGTAGATACAGTATGGCAGTATAAGATATGACTCTTTGATGTGGATGGAAAGATTGAAAAAACGTCATAATCAAAAAAAAAGTATATGGTACTTGGCAATCTAATAGTATTAGATCTCACACTATTAGATTACCAACATTCCAACATTTAAAAACACAAGTTCTTCAATAACTACAGTTGCTCTTTCAGAATGTGTTTAATCTGGGCTTTTGTGTGTGTGTGTGTGTGTGTGTGTGTGTGTGTGTGTGTGTGTGTGTGTGTGTGTGTGTGTGTGTGTGTGTGTGTGTGTGTGTGTGTGTGTGTGTGTGTGTTTCTCACCAATGACAGAGGTGAACAGTTCAGGTGCAGAACTTCCAGCTGCCATGAAGGTCGCTCCTGCTACATCCTCGCTCAGCTGAAGTCGCTGTTTGTTGAGAGAAGATAAAAGATATATAGAAACAAGAGACAGCAAGAAAAATAAATACATTTCTTCACAGAAATACATTAAAGTGGCTTAAAAGAAGAGTCGTGATGGAAGCTCAATGGTAGTGCAATCATAACCTGAGGGCTTGCTTACCTCACAGAGCTTCTCTAGACAGGGGACAAAGTAGTCGTCACACACCAAGGCCAGGGCATAGAACATGTAGACCGCCTGAAGGGGCCAAACACACACAAACACACATACATAGATATTTAAGAAAGTGAAACCGAACATTGTCCATCTACCTAGAGCAGTGGTTGCGCCCTGGGGGGCGCAGAGGCATGACAGGGGGGGGCGCGAGAGACCAGGAGGAAAAATGGTAATTGAAAAAAAAATTATAATTTGAAAAATTATTGATTCGAAAATATTATGATACAGTACAGTACTATTACGTCTGGGTCTCTGTGTTTCATCAAAGCTCGGCTCTCTGTGTGTGTGGAACGAGCCATTTTGTGTGTGTGCACGAGCGAGAGAGAGCGCACCGGTACCGGAGATCGTTGTTGTTAGCTTCTGGTGCTAGCGAGCTACGCTAACGGATATAAGGAGTTTTTTCAACAACAAAGTGGAGGAGAGTCCTCTCCTGTCAGACTGAGAGACTCACTGAACTAAAGGACTCTCTCAGTGTTATCTCAGTGGGTCTCAAACGTTTTGGTCACCATTAATGTAAACAATTATTTCCGAGGCACACGTTTATATGATCATTATAGTTATAAAAAAATAAGAGAATAAATGAAAAATAGGTATGGAACTGACAGTAAAAAAAGAATAAAGTTTAAAAAGGGTGATTTGTAAAATACCCATAAAGAAAAAGCAAATCTGTTTACAGTTCTGTTTCAAATGGGTGTTGAGAGATGTATCCATAGATCTCTTCATTTTGCTCTCAAAGTGCACCAGATTGATGCTTAATATTTAAAAATAAATCTTCCCAGGGGAGCTTACCCCCGGACCCCCCTATGTGAGGTCCACACACCACCTATAAAAATAGCACTTGACCCCTGCTTACACCTATATGCCGTGAGCTGATTATCGAGCCTTCATTGTAACTGTACATTGTGTATATGCGTGGGGATTGTTGCAGTAGAAAATTCCACTGTAGCAACCGGTACATTAATGGGAAACCCTAAATGTTTGAGCACCCTCTATGAAACGTCAAGCTACCCCACAGCCCCCCCAAAATAAATCTCTGGCGCTGCCACTGAGCCTGACTTGTTTTGGGGGGGCCCAACTTTTTTTTCTTCTCCAAAGACAGAAAAAGTTTGAGAAACACTGACCTAGAGTAACATATGTGTTTAACTTGTACTTAAACCAAGTGAAAAAAACATCAAATTAAATAAAAAGATGTAGCAAACCGCTAACTCTTATTCATACGCTGGTTTAGTAAAATAAAAACAGTATCAAGGGGCTAATATGTGTCCGCCTTGAGAAAAAGAGCTGCACAAAGACTCTTTTTTCTGAATGTTTTATGAACGTGTTTGTGGTTAGAAGCCTGAAATAAATGTTTGTGGTTAACACAACCTTAAGAGATTGTTTGTTCTATGTCTTAAAAAACATCAGTAAATACCCCAGTTGTGAATGTCCGAAGATTCTATGACAAAGAAAATGGCGGTAGTTTACAAGTGACTAAATGAATTACATATCATCATCACATTATATCTAATCCAATGGGGAAATCACGCTTTTAGTCAAGGGAGCCATTGCGATGCTAACTTCCGGGTCGGCCTACAAAAAAATACATTATCACTGCAACACTCTATAAATGCTTCGAGTTGAACATATTTCAACTTCCAGAAAAGTGCTGGTGACTGTCTGAAAATGGAGGAAAAGATTGTATTTGAGCATGTCTTTCATTCGGAAAACTATGATAACAAAGACCAATTCATGTTTCTTTTAGCAAATTGGCCGTCATAGAAAGAAAAGAGCTGGGAAAGTTTGTGGATGCAATCCTGAGATGAGGCTCTGCCCAATTACTTGACAGCGACTTTCTGCCTCAATCCCCTCTGTTAAAGGCTTAGTTCATTCAAATTGCATATTTATTTTCCACAAAGTCAGAGTCCCTATAACAGCTTGCCGTTTGGGTTACACAAAATAATCAGGCTGCTGTTTGTGTAGAAGTAATATGAGGCCAATCTGTAGTGTTCATTCTGCAATTCAGATAGATAAAAGCTCTGTCCAATACTTGCACATATGTATCAAACATATTTGAGACAGTTTTAGAATTGTTTCAGAAAATATGTTTTGGTTACTATGCAGAGTGTAGACATACATATAGAATAAATAGGTTGATAAACCAGGCCTCAAAAAAGATTAAGTAATTAAAGGGAATGACATGACCTCAGTTTGACATGTGGAGCAGTTTTGGTGTCTTTAGTCAGTAAGTGTGTCCTTGGATCACTTATAAGCCTCTCTTTAACATCTGCCAAACACTTCCAAATTACTCCCCACTGGCACTTGGCTCAGTGGGTGGATTCTCCAAGTGTTGTGTGAGTAAGTTAGTATTAAACACAGGCATTTATGTTTAATTTCCCAGTTGTAAGTGGTGTGCTAATTGAATTTATAATGCATTTTGTGAGACTAATAAAATTACTTTTACAACACAATATGGCATTGACCCATCTGTGATGCCACCTGCTTGTCAGAGGCTATAGTATACACCTTGACACACACTCATGGCTGTGACATCAGGAGACATTTGGGATTCAGTACCCTCCCACTAATCTTTCAATTGCCAGACGATTACTCTACCTCCTGAGTCACAACCATCATATGCAGAATTGTAAAGATGTTTTATCTTTTAGTCAAAGTCTCTTTGATTTGATCACCTACACAAGGTAACATTTTCTGTCAATTCTGTTTGCTATAACTAACCTCAAAACACCTTTTCCTTTCTTGAAGAATAAAAAGGTCCACCGCAGCGTCATACTAAAATCTGCTGCTCTAAATGTATTGTCTTTAAAAAAAATACTGTTCTCTCTCTCTTATTAGTTCCTTATGATGCTACAACTATAACCTGTGTTAGCATTAAAAACATTGTATATTTCTATTTAAATAAGCATTATATTCAATTGGCCGCTGTGGCAACTCAAATTTAGTATTTTTGTCAGTGGACCTATCAAATTATGATAATTAATACATAAATAACAGCTTTGGAAGAGCTGGCACGTAAAGTTTAAGAATCATCTACAAATACTAAAATGTTATAATGATCGCTAATTTGCACAGTTAACACAAAGATGGCAAATATACGCAATAGATAGATGCTACACATAACCATAACAAGATAGCAGTGTTATATGGCTGGAAGAGGGACCACCATTTTACGGCCATAGCCTGAATTTGCAGCTTGATGGATTCCATAGATGTTAGCAATATATTAGCAGTGTGTGTGTTAAGCATACGTAGCCTCTTAGATTAGCCCTCTGTACTCAAAGACACTCTAAAGAGTTTGCTGTTCATTTTGTAGGTAGATACAGTTCAAACAACCCTGTTTTTTTTTATCACTGGCAAAAGTGAGCATCCCATGATGTACTGATGCACCTTGCTAACATAAGCTAGCATCTGATTTCTAAAATCAGCAGAGAAAACAAACAAAATGGCTACTCCCATATTTGGATTCACTCCTTATATATTTTAAATGTTGTTCAACCAGTTATCCAGAGAGAAAAGTTCACATGTTGTAGGTTAAATATAAATGTGAGTGCCGTTTTGTCTCTGTCCTTTTTGACTCTGATGAAGACAAAGTATTGCTGGAGCATCAGTCTGTTTGCATTATTTAAAGCCTCAATTCTTTCAGTGTGCTCCTTTTCTCCCTTAAAGACCATAACACATTTAGGAGAGTTTTTAGTTGCAGCTATTGATCTGAAATACTACAGCTATCAAATCTTGATGATGAACCTCAAACATGCGTTTTGTTTGTATATAAGCTTTAGCATTAGCTGCTAACTTAGTCTTTGTATTGCTAATCCTGCCGGGTCTGAATATTCCCCAGCTGCGCTGTCTTCTGAAAAATATATGATAATAACTTTCATTTTAATATTTAAGTTAAAGATGGCTCTACAGGATTTCCTAGATATATTTATAATTCAGTGTTATAACAGAGTAACCTGCATTGATATGCTGCTGCATGATCAACCTTAAAGACATACATATTATTTAAAAGCTTTTTCTGCAATCGTTATTGAGCACTGGCCCTTTTCTAAGTAACTAGGTAACACTCACACAGAGGACGTGCAGGCCCACTGCTCCATCAACACGCTCCTGGTTGGTGAAGTAATCCCTGGGAAACTCATGGATTGCTGCAGAGAAAAATACACACAAACACATTTGCTTAAAAACTTAAAAGTAAAAAAAAAAACATATAAAAAATTACTTCATTAATTACATAGTTAAATACTAAATTGCTATTATGAGGACAAATTATTTTGATATAAGACTATAACAATGAATCTTTCCACAGAACCTCAAATATTAGTAATATTTTATTTATTTATTTTACTTGGTTTCCCCATATTTTCACTTCAAAGGCGCCGGTAGCTCAGGAGGTTTAGCAGTCAACTACGACAGAACCCAGAAAACACAAGTGTGCTTATTCACGTTTAATGCTCCCGATAAGCAGAGGGCATCTTGGCCACAGGTGTGTGAATGGTTGTGTGCATGCTAGCTTATGTTCTACAATTTTGAGTGGGCACTAAAATAACATTATATGAAAAAGTCAGTTTGCTAAATAATTGTTTACCCGCCAAATTTTTTATTCATAACACGACAAAACTAGTTTGTTTAAGATCTCATAAATCACTTCGATGTTGCACTTAAAAACAAATCTGTTCGGAAGTGATACTTAAAGGCGACCTATCATGCAAAATGCATTTTTGTATGTCTTTTATACATGAATATGTGTCCCCGGTGTGTCAGGGAACTCACCAAGTGTCAGAAAACCAAACCTCTTCTATTTCCTCCATAGCCCAATCTCCTAAAACGGGGGCCCCCCTGGCAACCCGATTCTGGAATAACAGGAATTTGGGATAAGAAATTTTTGAAAAAATCTTGGACGTTCAGGAACGAGGGGAGCCCTCCCCCGCCTATAAATGCCAAAAACTCCTCCACCCCTATCAGGGGGAATTGCGGGTTTGGCCCACGGCCCCCCGGCCATTTGCCCGCTCGAAAGCCACTGGGAGACCACTGTAAGTACCAAAATATGCCAGGCCTGGCCCCCAAGTGGCGCTTGTAAATTCGCAACAAAAGCCACGAAAGAGAACCTCACCCGTGCCAGGGTTTTGCCCATGGTTTGCCCTTCCCTGGTTTTTTTATTGTTTCGCCTTGTCTCTTTTTCTCCCCCTCCGAGGGCCCCAAAGCCTTTTTTGCCTCCCTGCTGCCTGTTTTTATTCAAAACTATAACTCATTCTTTTGTTCACTATTTGCGACAAATTAAAGAGGCGCTAGAGTTCAGCAGATAATGGCGCTGCGGAAGTCCCTCGAGATACGTTCAGATACCCTTGAGGGGGCTATCAACTTTTAGTTGCGATTTCCCGAAGGGTCTCGCAATCTTTCACTTGCAGTTGCCCTATGACTGTATTGCAGGATATACTGCTCATACCTACACTCCTGCACAACCTACGAGACGATTGGCATTTGTGGGACCAAAAGTCCATGAAAGTTTTGTCATCCCAAATCGAACTAAGCGAAGTCGGACAGAATACAACCAAACTGGAGACCAGAGAAACTTTTCCCTAGACGTACAAATCTAGTATAAATACAGGATTAATAGACGTCCAACCTTACAAATTTTTAGGGGAAATGACGTCTATTACCGACGTTCAGGGAGCTCTATGCAAGTCTATGGGATCCCTGATAGTTGAGAATAAAGGGCTTCCCAGAGCGCTTCCTCCATACCCAAATCTCTAAAAACGGGGCTGCAACGGATCTGATACAGACTGATCCAGATTTGAAATATCTCTGACGTCAGGAACGAGGAGCTCCGCCTATACGGCCAACTCTCCACCTATCAGGGGAATGAGAGGTTGGGCAACGGCCAGCCATTCCCGCTCGAAAGCGCTGGAGAGGCTGTAGTACATATGCCAGGCCTGCAAGTGGCGCTGTAGTCTGCCACAAAAGCAGCGAAGAAGACTTCCCGTGCATGGTTGCCATGGTTACCCTTCTGTTTATTCTCTGTTGGGCTCTTTTTCTCCCTCCCCAAGGCAAGCGTTTGCTCCTGCTGCTGTAATTCAATGCAATCCCTCCCTCGCTGTAATTCTCTCAGGTAGTCCACCAGCAGATGACAAACACCCACCTCTCCGCCTCTTCCAAGGGACGAGGGGACCGTGCGGCAGAGTTTCAGTTAGATTTTTTTTCGCCGGTCAACATGTCCATTAAAGTTTAAATCTTAAGGACAAAATTAGAACAGTGCCGGTCGAAGGTCTTCTTTGTTATTTATTGAGCTTTAAAACAAATGAATAACGACTCTCTATAATCATATAAGAATAAAACACGGAGGACAGAGATCTCTTTTTCTCCCCCCTCTTCTCCCCGCTGCAGCCTAGCAGCTGATCTCAGAGCACGAAGGGGGCGTGGTCAGCTGCAGCTCACAGAATCAGCCCTCGCAAAAACAGGGATGGATAGAGCAAATAGAGCGAAATGAGGCGTGGCTAAAATGCAGGATCTTTTTGGTATTTTGAAAAAAAAACTTCACAGACATGTTTCATATAGGAATGGCCCGACAATATATTGTTCAAATATAGCATGATAGGTCCACTTTAAATATGTTTTCTTCTGTGTTTCTTTTCATTTCTATCAAATGTTTTGGAAAATGCATCTTGGTTTCTGTAGATGTTTCTGCAGATGTAGTTTTTTCTAAGAATTTTGTCTTTTTTCAGAGTTCTCTCTTAGAACTTTTACATTTTTCTCAGAATTGTCTTTTTTCGTAGAATTTTTGACTTTTTTCTCCAAAAACCTTGTTTTAAGTACTTCACCCACTTCGAGAATAAACAACTTTTCCACGTTTCATTTTGTATTAATTCACGACTCTTAGTTTCTTGAGGTTCACCTGCATATCTGTCTTTAGAGTTTTCCCTAATGTCTCACACCGTACTCCTTTAAGTTTATCTGAAGTTGTATCCCTGATATCTCTCGACACGGCGTTTTGTGCAAACAGAGTGAACTGCTTTCATGAATGGAACTACAGTGTTGGTGCTTTCTGTAAAAACTAC